GATTTTTGGCCCAACTTCCAGAGCCCATAACGAGCTCGATTCTCAACCAAATTCACTTCTACAAAAGCCAAATTAAAGCTAGAAATGTGATCTACCAATCCCAAATTACAGAAAGTTTGAATATAGTCCGTGTTGTTCAGAAATTTGGCCTGAAAGTGGCCAAACGACCACGGCTGAAATTTTCCAGAAAACTAAAATTTTCTTCCCAACTTCCAAAGTTGATTTCTAACTCGTTACTTAACCAAACTCAGTGATTCAAAAGCCATTTTGAAGTTAGGAATGTAGAGAACAAGTTTGTACCTAGAAGAAGTCCAGTTGTGGTCGAGGTTGACCAGAAAAATGGTTTGAAAGTGACTAAATGGCCATGGTTCTTGAACGAAAAACTTCGGGTTCTCCTTCTTCTTGAGTTTCTGAGTAAAACCACACGTTCAAAACACAAACAAAGGATCAATAACAACCCATAGAAGTGAAATGAAGGTTCTAAGGGTTTCTCAAGGCTTACCTAAGCCATGCATGGCCTAAAAATCGATATGTCAAACTCGCCAAGTCGACCTTCCGAGTTGGTGAGTCAAAACTCGTCCACACCAGATTTCAAGGACATGGTTGTGATCGTGGGACTAAGATGAGCATGATGATGTAGTTTGTTTGTTCAATCTACAAGCTTTGGAGCTCGCTCATGGAGTTGCAGAGGAAGAGAGAGTTTATGGAAGAGAGAGACAGAAGAGAGTGAGGTTTTGAAATTTTCTTTGCTTTTTTCTGATAGAGGGGGACATAATATAAAGAAAAGATGGGATATGTGACAGTGAATAATGAAGGGGGAAGTGCACGGGATGAGTTTAAAAGGAATCCAAGGATAGGTTTTTAGATTTCCTACAGTAAAAGGAAATCGAAATCTATCCGAAATAGATGTTTTTACACTTTAAAATTTACGCATACTCGTACTAGCGTGTACAATTTAAATGCGATAGCAAGAAATAAAAAGGAAAGCGATAAGAATAAGTCCACGTTACTTGCCGATAAGGGCATAATCGTCAATACACATACTCGGGGAGAAATTACATAGGAAAATTAGGGACGGGTTGTCACATTAATCATGTGCTAAAATCTAGAGAAATTAAAGTTGAGGCTTGGAAGGTAAGGAATTACACATGAAAGAGGAATCCTAGTTGGAGGGGAATATTATCTTATTATATCCTATCTTATCCAACATTATTTTATCTTATCTCCAACTGCAAGGAGGAATCCAAATCACATTCCAACACTTTCCACCTGTTTCCTAGAGTCCTAAAATAACTTAAAACACCTAATCCCTTTTCTCCTTGGATTCAGCCATCCCCCCCCCCCCCATATATAGGAAATTCCTACAACGATTTAGGGTGTGCCATGCCTACCATTCATCCATTGAAGTTGCTGGAATTTTCAGCGTTCTTTCTATCTTTGTTTTAAGTTTCAATGTTTATTTTAAATTGCTTTTTAGTTATGATGAACATGTGTAGCTAAGTTTCTTTTAGGTAGAGGTGAATTCGAAGCCATGATCATATGTTTTATATAAATTGATTACATCCAGTTATTGTTTCATAAAATATGAATGCAATTTACTTATCTGCTTTATAGAAAACTTATTCTTGTATGTTTATTAAGGGTGCACACTTAGTTTGCATGCATGGATATGATGCTAGAATATAAGGGAATTTCACCTAACCGTTATGAACTTATATTTGCAAGTAGTAAAAGTCACTAGTCATGATTGAGTTAAGTAAATTCTTGGCAAGAATATCATGCTTTTCATAGTTACGAATGCTTTGTCAATGCTTATAATTTTCACAAAACTTAATGATCTTTGAGATGTATAGCTATCATGCTTTTCATAGTTAGGGAACTTGAGAAGAATAATTTGGTTGCGTCCCTGAGTCCAATTCAATGAACTTAGGAAAATCTTAAAGTTAACTAGTGTTGTTCAAAGTTAATTTGGGGCATTGTCATTCATGGTTTATAGGAAGAATAATTGGAAATCGATTTGTATGCATACGTTTCATGTGTGGAGAAGAATCCTTTAGCTATCCTTTCATCCATATTTCATTCACAACTTAATTTACTTGTTGCACTCTACTTTTGTTTTAATTAAATTCGTCCCAAAATCCCCCTAGTCATTGTTTTGTTGTTAGTTTAACTTAGTTTTCAGTTTTATAAGCTTTATTTGTGTTGATTAGCATCCCTTCTAATCCCTGGAATAGAATGATCCTTACTTACTCATACTACGATTGCATAATTTATAGGGTTTAATTTGTGTGTTAGTTTTTACCATATCAGTTGACCTTGGTGGGATGTTTTCTGGCCGCCCCTACCACGCATCTTTTGGCATTTTTGGTGTTGATTTTTGTTATAATGTGCTTCAAGCACAACAGTCACCCTAATAGGTCAAGCTTGATGATTCTTCATCAACACCTGGTTCTGCTTTTTAGCGAGAAGTAAAACAGAGATCAAATCCGAGAACTTAGTGAAATTCTGAGCTCTATATTGTTGCTACAGGACAATATTAGAAGCAAAGAAGGTCGAATAAGTCTTCTCCAGAAGATCCTCTTCGGTCAAAGTTTCGTTACAAAACTTGAGAAGTGATCATATTCGACAAACTTCAGAATTATATTCATTCACAGACTTAAAGTCTTGGAAGCGCAAATGCTGCCAGCCATGTCTTGCTTCAGGCAAGAATATGTCATTTTGGTGATCAAAACGATCAGTCAAAGAGACCCATAGTGCATGTGGATCCTCCTCAGCAAGGTATTCAGTTTGCAAGGCGCCATGGATATGTCTTTGGATGAAGATCATTGCGTTTGCTTTTTCAGCTTTGCCAACAGGGTTGTTCGTCGCTTTTTCAATGGCGGGACGAAAGTTCTTTGCAGTGAGGTTGAGCTTCACATCTTGAACCCACTTGAGGTAGTTCCTTCTAGAGACCTCCAAAGCGGTGAAGTCGAGTTTGTTCAAATTCGGCATGTTCCTATCACAAAATAGATGGACAAGATGTGGTTAGTGTAATGGAGAAAAATCAATCCATTCAAATAGGAGTAGAACATACAGGTTCTAATAGACATGTATTGGTTTAATTTTGCATGAAAAAACTTCGGGTTTTCATGGGTGATGTTTTTAAGTAATAACTTTAGGTTTTCAAACAAGGCATGTTTTTACAAAACTTCAGGTTTCAAAATAATTTATGAACTTTAGGTTCATATGTTCCTGCAGGCAAACATAAATATATACACAAAAATATGCAATAAAAATATGAAAATAGAACTTCAGGTCTACAATTATAATTGAATTTAATTATTTGGACTTCGGGCCAAATTTAAAGTGTGGGTGAAAAAACATAAAACCCAAATTGTTTAAAAGTTATTAAACAATCGAAGCTCACGGCCCAAAAATAGGCCAAAGCCCACGGGTGGGCTGAGCAATTTCGGTCCGCGTAGCCCAGGCCCAAAAATTGGGCTAGGGTGTCTCCGGTGCATGTTGAAGGCCCACGAGGAGAAATAAACAAAGAGAGGCTTTTTTTTTGTTTTTTTCATGGGCTGAAGGAGACAACTAGGCCCAAGAGATAGTGGCCCATATAGGGGTTCTAGCCCAAGGTAGCAAACGGGCTACCTTGAAAGAAAAAGGAGCCGGGCCCAGGGGAGGACGTGATCCAGTGCATCACAACGTTTGGGGACACCATAGCCCTCGGGATGGTGTCTTGCATGGGCCGAGCCAAAGGGTTTTGGGTCAATGCGTTTGAGCCCAAAAAAAAAAAAAAAGGAAAGCAAGCATAGTAACAGAGCCCAATAGGGCTCGGGTTGGGCCAAATTCACCCCAGCCGTAGCTGGGTGCGTTCGCCTGGGAAGAAAACCGGTGCCACCACTTCAGGAGGCCGTGCTTTGGGACAATGGTGCTCAGGGCGAGTTTATGGGTCGTCGGAGACCTCGAAGATGAACGGAGATTGAAAGAATCTCAACATTCTCGTAAAACCCTAGAAATTCGAATTGGGTTTTTAGAAAAATTCGATAAGATTCAATTAAATCTCGTTCAATTGATGTCGGGGACGAGCTTCAGTCCGTCAAACGTAGTGACCTGTGGTGTGAGGATGGGCCGCAGGCCAACCTGCAATTTGATGCATATGCAATTCAATAACTTTAATGCATGTACATATATTTGATGCAATTCATGGCAATATATCAAATTCACATAATTCAACAATTATGAATATAATACATACACAATTTATGTAGAATCTAAAATTCAAAAAACGTAAAATTGGGTCATGCATTATGGTGAATGTTATTGCTATCAAGGTTGCAAAAATATCAAGATAAAAACCGTTGTTTTGAAAGAACCTGATTGCGTGATGAAATGGATGAACTGGTTTGATGCAGAAAATTTCCTCGTCAAATTCCTAAGCGTAGCGGTAGGAGCGTGCTAATAACGTGTTTTAGCATATTTTATTTGACAAGGTTAAAGGGGGCCGGCGGCAAGGGTAGAGAGATTAAGAGAGATGTGTTTGTAGAATTGTAGGGGAATGTGTATGTTATCCCTCCTACATAGTACTTTTATTTATAGTAGTAAAAGGAGAAGAAATTCCTTCATCCCCAAGGAATACAAGTTGTAATAAGAAATGATAATTAAAATCAAATCTAATCTAAAATTTACATAATCACACTTAAACTATGAAAGTTTACAACACTTTGTTTTCGTTTTTGACCGTTATTGTGGACTTGGTAAATATGAGCTCGTTTGGATGTGCTTTTAATCCTTATTAAAAATGCAAGCAAATTCTGGAAAAACCCTTAAAGTGCTTCTTGGAAGAAGTACATAGCTGGTGCTTTTTGCAAAAAGCACTTTAAGTGCTTTTGAAACAAAAAAATATTTTCTCTAAAAACGCTTTCAGTCATTTTAAAAGCACATCCAAACGAGCACAGTCTCTTTTATAAATTTTAGACATGTAAATTCGTTGCCTGCCGTGTCTAAAGTTAACGGGCCCGTCTTCTCTACAAAAAGAAAGAAAAATACTCAGTCGTGCTATCTGCTCTCTGCTCGCTTTCTCTGGCCATTGCACCAGAAATTCCAATCCCAAAGCCGCCAAACGAATTGAGGCCGTGAGGCATCGTTGGGCCGCAATCGGAGATCGAGTCGGCGGCAGTAGCTTCCGGCAACCTAGGTCGCGAAACGCCCGGGTCCTCTGTCGGAAGGTAAATCGACGAACCATGCAACTCGGAGAAATATATGATCGTGATTGTCTGTGTCTGACATTTGAACATTTCGGTTGTGTTTTTAGTAAAGATTGCATTTTTGTTTTGTTGGGTTTAAGAATGTCATCTGAGGTTTTGGTTTATTGGTGATTGATGAATCATAGGAGTTTTCGAAGAGATGGAGGGTTTAAGGCAACTGGAGGCGTTGTGTGAGAGGTTGTACAATTCGCAGGACTCGGTCGAAAGGGCTCATGCCGAGAACACTCTCAAATGCTTTTCGGTGAACATAGAATACATTTCGCAGTGCCAGTACATTCTCGACAATGCCATGACTCCCTACGCGTTGATGCTGGCTAGTTCTAGCTTGTTGAAGCAAGTCACTGAGCAAAAACTTGCTCTGCAGCTTCGTCTCGACATCCGTAGGAATCTTCCTTTACTTGTATTCGTTTAGCGGGTTTGCTTTGTTGTTTGCATCTTATTGGAGTTGAACAATGTGGAATCTTTGTTGTAGGGAATTACCTTATTAACTATTTGGCCACTCGAGGACGCGAGTTACAGCCATTCGTGACTGCCTCTTTAGTCCAACTCTTATGTCGGCTCACCAAGTTTGGGTGGTTTGATGATGATCGATTCTGGGATGTGGTGAAACAGTCAATGAACTTCTTGAATCAGGTTATATGACTTTCTGTTTATAACTTGTAATGTCTTCGATCTTGAACTAATTTGTATGATACTATGGCACTGTTGTTGCGTTATAAGCAGTATTACCTAGAGAAATTCGAGTAGGTAAAGATGACTGCAAACAAACTGGCTACTGAATAAAATACTGCAAGAAAACATTATCAACCAGAGACCAGACAAACAAAATCATAGTACATTGAAACTAAGCTAAACAGAATCTCAATCGACAACATCCTTCCTATTCTCATAGATAAAGAACAACGGTACATCCTAAAACTCAGAAGAAACCGATAACCATTAAAAAGGTCTAAAGTGAAAGTTTATCTCACAAAATCCCCAGAATCTTGCCACCAGAAAATGCATGATGCAAAAATTCCCTAGCGCATACCAGCTTTTCTAAATAGGACTTACATGGGAGTACTCCCTCTGGCTCAAAATTCCAGCTCCTTCCTTCTGGTCTAGAGATTGTAAATTGGGTGTAAGTGTAGGGACAAAGACTAACTTTGCTGGGTAATCTCAGCAACTTGCATTACTTCGGCTTCAGCTTCTTTGGAATCTCAGGAAATTCCTTACTTTCCCCTTTCTTTCTTTTTTATTTTTTTGGACTTAGAATCAGTTTTATCTAAATTCTGTGGTAGTCATTGGATTGTTAAGGCTTTATTACATTCGCTATTTTGTTCATAATGGACAGCATGCTTGTAATTGCTTGGGATTTAAATAATTTTTATTTTCTATAAAAAACTAAAACACTATATAGAGGAAATGGGATTACTTACAATACCTTATTTGTTTCCGGTCATATCGTTGATTATTTAACTGGTTTATAGAAAGGTGCATCTAGCTACAACATTACCTTAGTTGTATCCATAATTGCATTGTATTTAACACATTGTGGCACGTGATCCCTGGTCTATCATTCTGGAATTTAAGAATTAAATATTAATTGGTTATCTTCTTGTACATGTATATCTCATACTATTTGGCTCTATTTACCAGGCAACGTCTGATCACTATGCCATTGGTTTGAAGATACTTAACCAACTCGTGTCTGAGATGAGTCAGGTTTGATTTTAATTTGTGCCCCTTTATCTCATCATTAATACGAGATATTACTTTTTGGTTACAGAAGATTTCCACTCTGTTTCCATTATTTCCCGTCTTACTGCAACTTGTGTCTGAGTGAATTGAACCACTTATCATCCTGAAGTTTCTTCAGGGCATCGTTACATGGATAGATGATAGTGTATGGTGTGAATATTTATTAATTTATTTTCTTGTTCAAGGACACTGATAGAGGCTAGTTTAAGCACTCAAAGTTTGCCCTTGGTCGAACATCTATAGGCATATTGGTATTTGATTAGTTTCACTATTATTTTGGACCACTTATGTCTCTTACTGCAACTTGTGTCTGAGTGAATTGAACCACTTATCATCCTGAAGTTTCTTCAGGGCATCGTTACATGGATAGATGATAGTGTATGGTGTGAATATTTATTAATTTATTTTCTTGTTCAAGGACACTGATAGAGGCTAGTTTAAGCACTCAAAGTTTGCCCTTGGTCGAACATCTATAGGCATATTGGTATTTGATTAGTTTCACTATTATTTTGGAGTTGTAATATTCCAATTTTTATAAGAATTAAACCTTGTTTTGTTTGTTTCTTTGAAAGGGCCTTTCCTTTTAAAATGTGTGATGTAGGACAATAGGAAGGGATAGAGAAATAGAAGAGATACGGACTTCACTCAGGCCTTTGGCATTTCACCAAAGGTGTACTGGAATCACTCCAATAGAGAAATTAGAAAAATTCCGGCATCACACCAGCCTTCAGCATCACACCAAAAGGTGCCTTGGAATCACTCCAAGGTTGTTGTGCCTCACACACAAGCTCGGAAATCCAGAATTTCTGATTCACTAACAATCTGATTGCAAAAGCTTACAAATTATCCCCTTTATAGGCTTAACTGGTACATGAATCTGCAGAGGTCCACATTAATATGCTTAGGAATTCTAAAGACTAATTTATGACACCAAATCCATGAAGAATGTAACATAGGGAGACTTAGACAATTAACTTGCAGACTACATTGCGTTTAATGAAATTTTAACTTGGCTATTAACATGTGCTTGTTTATTTTGTATTTGATTAACATTTGTTTGTTTTTTCATTACTTGATAAATGTTCAGCCTAATCCTGGGTTGCCTTCAACGCATCATCGGAGGGTTGCATGCTCCTTCAGGGACGAGTCTCTCTTTCAAATATTCCAAATATCCTTAACTTCATTGCGTCAACTGGAAAGTAATGGTAAGATGTTGGCAGTGGATCTTAACCTGTTTGGATTACCCCTTACCACTACTTTATATTTATTGTAATTCTTGTTTGATTGGTATTAATGCTGGTTGATTTTTTGATGCACAGTTGCAAATCAATTGCAAGAGTTGGCTCTTTCGCTTTCACTTAAATGCCTATCTTTTGATTTTGTTGGGACCTCACTTGATGAAAGTTCTGAAGAATTTGGTACTGTTCAGGTATTATCCTTGTTTCTTTTGGATTGTTAACCATTTAAAGGTCTGTCAACAAGTCTCTTATGCAGTGAATCATAAATAAGAATGTAACTGTTAATCTTACAGATTCCATCGGGTTGGAAGTCAACATTGGAGGATCCTGCAACACTTCAAGTCTTCTTTGATTACTATGCCAATACAAAGCCCCCCCTTTCAAAGGAGGTTAGTATATGTGATTTTTCTTCTTCACTAATTGCTGATGATTTCTAGGACCTTATTTGATTAGAAAAAGAATAAGTAAAGAAAACCGTCTATCGTGGGATAATTTATTGCGGATGCTACATGTATTGTGAATCGGATCCTTGTCATAATGGCTAATTTATTGCTGGTGCGAGATATTTTTTATTAGTTCTCGATTACCTGCAACCACATACAGTCTTGTATGTGCAAGCGTACAGTGGTGTAAGTTCTGTCCTTTAATAACCAAAACTTATCTTTGTTTGTTGGAGTAAAAAGTTTCTTTTCCTACCATTTGAAATTTTATGTTGTTATTATTCATGATTTTTACTGTTTAACATCGTAATCGAGTTTTTACTGTTATTCTTTATAGGCACTGGAGTGCTTGGTGCGACTAGCTTCTGTTAGACGTTCTTTGTTTACAAGTGATCCTGCCCGTTCAAAGTTTCTGTCCCATTTAATCACAGGAACCAAAGAAATCCTACAAACTGGGCAAGGTGCCGTTGGCTTAGCCCCTTTTTTCCTTTTGATTGTCATGCATCTTACTCTAATTGTGCTGAATGTGAAGTAGTTTGTTTGTGTGATAGAAGCGTACAGCATTTGTGTATTTTTGGTAGTTATTAACTTCCTAGATATTTTTCTCAATAACTTCCTAAATTTGATTGTTTTCCCTTCGTGCTTTTCTCACTCTTGCATAACAACTATGGACAGATTTGTACCTGTCTATGCTGCACAGAATACGACTCAGAAATTATATAAAATATATTAGAAAAGACATTAAAAAAATACAAGACATTAAAAAAGCATGCTGATTCCATCATAAGTTCATACTTCACAACATAAAATAAATTAGAAAAGAGAAAGATTCAGGTTCATCTTTCACCATATAGAAGAGAAGAGAGGAATAGCTTTAGAATAAACTTTTGAAAATTAAACTTTGACTTCGCCTTGTTCTAAATTTTCAAACACCATCCCCAAAAGTTACAAAAACTTATTATCCCCTAGCCGTATCTTGACCATGTCCTATTGAGTATCGTTGCCGTTTCTCATAGTTTACAAAATAGGAAAAATCGGCAATACTTTGCATATCTGCTACGTGTTAGACTGTATCGTGGGGGTATCGGTAGACCCTGGCCCAAATTTCTAGTATCGGTGCAACAAAGGTACCTATACTTATTCTAGATTGTAGTAGTTATTTATTGGTTGGTCCTGTATCTATATTATACTTAAGGTGGATATTATCTGAATTTTAGGCACTTGTGAGTGCTAATACTTAATCAACAACAAACAACAACAACAACAACAACAACAACAACAACAAAGCCTTATCCCACTAAGTGGGGTCGGCTATATGAAGCCTTATCCCACTAAGTGCAAATCCTTAATGAAGCCTTTTCCCACTAAGTGCAAATCCTTAATCAACGGCCCTGAATTTATGTTTTACTAGTGTGTTTTCTTTTATCTGTTGGGTTTTTATAATGATTTGTTGAACTGGAAATCAGGTCTTGCTGATCATGATAATTACCATGAGTATTGTCGTCTTCTTGGACGATTCCGAGTGAATTATCAGGTAATCTTTTTTCTTTTTGGTAATTTTGACATCAGGCTTTTTCGTTAGTAAGAAGTACCCTAGTCTTTCTTGGTATTTTGGGTCATTCATCTAAATGAAGTGAGCTTAATGAATATTGCACAGATGTAAATTACTCCGTAAATATACCTACATTTTCGTTTTGGATTTATATTTAGATGACATTGATTTGTACCTTGAAAAGATGAAACTTACGCCTTACACATGTAGTTTTGATTATGACGTGAGATTTTACGTAGATAGTTTGTAATTTCTTTGTGGTTATTATGAAATTTATTTTCTGGTATGTAATCTTTCCTTGAGGTGATCTAGTTTACTGCTTGTGCTTACTGAACTTCTAAATTTGCCGCAGTTGTCAGAGCTTGTGACTGTGGAAGGCTATAGTGACTGGATACGTTTAGTAGCAGAATTCACGTTAAAGTCTTTGCACTCCTGGAAGGTTGAATGGCTTTCATAACTTTTTTCTAAGCATTAGGAAAAGAATATTGTATACTATGCTGTTAAATGAAAACACTTCCACGATTAGTCGGTCTCTACAATCTCCTAAATCTTAGTTTTGTAGATTTATGGGTTTTGGCTTCATACCATGTGAGTCTTGATTGGGCTTGCAATCCTTTACCTTCTGTTTACATTAATCTTCATTTGGTTAGGTGCATCTAGTCGTTTGTAGTTTTTAGTTGTAGTTACTCTTATCTTATAGTTTCCAGTTGTCACTTCCACTATTTCTCTAACACACAGACTATCTCTCTGCTTTAGCTATACAGTCCTAATTGCATCCAACAACGAATGGTTGTCCTAATGACAGTTAGTGCCGTTATACATGAATGTCATCGACTATGGTACCTAATAATGCTTGGTAGCTGGAACTAATTATGTGGGTTGAAAAATTACAACTTGCCTTACTGAAACTTTATCTTCTTTTCAGTGGGCCAGCAGCAGCGTATACTACCTTTTAGGACTTTGGTCTAGATTGGTGACATCTGTACCATACTTGAAAGGTGATGCACCCAGCATGCTCGATGAATTTGTACCTAAGATTACTGAAGGTTTCATCACATCAAGATTTAACTCCGTGCAGGTAAACACCAGAACTTTTACTGCCAGTACTGTTATTTTATGTTCAAATTTAAGAAAGTTCTATATCTTCTTACTATTTTACAGGATGGTTCGCTTGATGATCTTTCTGAAAACCCATTAGACAACGTTGAACTTCTTCAAGATCAGTTGGATTGTTTTACATACCTCTGTAGATTCCAGGTTCACCTCTTTATGTGCTTCTCTTTTTCTATCTGAGGAAGTTATGGTTTTGCAATTCGTCAAATAACTATTTTCTATTTGATAAAAATGCATTTAAAATACATATTTTAACTTAGACACGTGGAGCTGATCTGAATTTGTTAGTTGCCTCTATGACCTTCTCTATTTTGTTGCAGTATGAAAGCAGTAGTTTGTATATAATAAGCATAGTGGAGCCTCTTTTGCAGGTCTACACGGTATGGGTATTTATATTGATGGATGCCTCTTGGAAATTGAAAAGAAAAATTTCTGGACTTCATGTTTTTAACCAATTCTTCTGACTTGAACAGGAAAGAGCTCGAGTTCAGACCAGTGATACCAGTGACCTCTCTATTATTGAAGCAAAACTTGCTTGGATTGTTCACATAGTTGCTGCAATTCTCAAGATAAAACAATGTACTGGGTGCAGGTAAAGAAAATTAAACAACTTTCTTGACCAAAAAAACCTGCGTTTACTTCCTTTTCATTCATTTTGCTTTTCCCTTCATTGCTACCATGGAAGATTTTTATTGTTTTATTTTTTCCTTGCAGTACCGAATCACAAGAAGCACTTGATGCAGAACTTTCAGCACGCATCTTGCAATTAATAAATGTCACTGACAGTGGGGTACAGAGCCAGGTACAGCAGCAGGAATGACCTCTTTCTGAATATTAGATATAGTAGTCAAATACTTACCTTCTAAATCTAGATTTTTCTTATCTTTCTTTACCTAAAATGTTACTGTTTTTGTCATGGTTTGATATAAATGAATGTGTGCACTTTAAAACTCTGCAATGGGCATCAAGCACTTTGGTTAATATATTCAACCAAATTACTCGGTGTTAAGAGTGATATTCAACTTTAAGATTGCCAATTTATTTATTTTTCTTACTATCAAAATTAATGTAAACTGTTCAACCCTGGCATTTGGCAGAGATATGGTGAAACAAGCAAGCAAAGACTTGATCGTGCAATTCTTACCTTTTTTCAACATTTTCGGAAGTCATATGTGGGTGATCAGGCCATGCATTCTTCGAGGGTAATTAAGTTTTTCCTGGCATTCTTTACAGTTAAGTTAACATTCTTCTTGAGGCTTCTCCATTTGTTGCAGCAGTTATATGCCCGCCTTTCTGAGCTTCTTGGACTTCATGATCATCTTTTAATGTTAAATGTCATTGTTGGCAAGATTGCTACAAACCTGAAATGTTACACGGAGGTGAAATCTTTTTCATGCTTTACTCACACTAAATATATTTGGATATCAAGTTTGCATTTTAATTCTTGCCTATTTTCAGAATGAGGAGGTCATTGGTCACACCCTGAGTTTGTTCTTGGAGCTGGCATCTGGGTTAGTTCTTTTTGTTCTGTATGTCTTTTGGGGCATTGGAGTGCTTGGTGGCTTAAGAGAGCCTAGCTTCCATTATCATATTTTGCTTATTGTAAGAGTAATTATTTTGGCAGATACATGAGTGGCAAGCTACTCTTGAAGTTGGATACTGTCAAATTTATACTTGCGAATCATACTGTAAATCCATATCTGAAATATCTTTCTTTTGCATTTACACTTTTGATTTGAATATCTTGAACAGAATCCTGTATCTCGCGTGAAAAGTTCACACTTTGAATTTCTCTTTTCAGAGGGAGCATTTCCCTTTTCTGGAAGAGTATAGATGTTCTCGCAGCAGAACAACTTTCTATTACATAATTGGCTGGTTAATATTCATGGAAGACAGCCCTGTCAAATTTAGATCTTCCATGGATCCACTTTTGCAAGTACTCTCTCTCAACATGCAATAAAAAATGTTTCATATGTGCATGCTGCTGAATCTGCACAGATATTCCTGTGTGTTCTTTAAAATGCTTAACTACACACACACACACACACACTAGATACTGTCTAGTTTGGTATTGTATGGATTGTTACTCTTGTACTATATGTGGTTCTTCAGGTTTTCGTCAATCTGGAATCAACTCCTGATTCAATGTTTCGTACTGATGCTGTAAAGTATGGATTAATTGCGTTGACGAGAGATCTTAGAGGAATTGCCATGGCCACAAATAGGTAGGTACTTTTTTCATTTTCTGTATCAAATATCTAAGGCCTAACAATTTCTTATTCTTATGCTCTTCTTTGGATATCTTCAGTCGGAGAACTTATGGCTTTCTGTTTGATTGGTTGTATCCTGCACACATGCCACTTCTTTTGAAAGGCATCTTGCACTGGTCCGATACACCAGAGGTAAAGGATAACTGCTTCCTTTGTTGAAAAATTCAATAGAGTTCTGCATTAAGTGGTTAAGCAAACAAAGCATTATCTAAAATTTCATACCTTGAAATTGAACTTTTTTACTAGTTGGAGAATTCTACATTTCAGAAGGCTTTTAAAATAAATAAATGAATGAAAGTCTTTTGAAACATAAGTCTGTGTTTCTTGTTTGCATTATAGTTTTTAGCTAAGAGATCAGGTAGGGTTAGATAATATTTCTTGATTCTTTTGAGCATTTTAGAATACATGGAAACAGGAAGCAGATCTCTCTCGGCTACATTTGATTCCTTTCTTATTTCTTGCAAAGTTAATTGTGTTATGTTTTCTCAATATTTGCCCAATTAATGCTGCAGGTGACCACTCCTTTGTTGAAATTCATGGCTGAGTTTGCATTGAACAAAGCCCAACGCTTGACTTTTGATTCATCTTCTCCTAATGGAATACTTCTTTTTCGAGAAGTCAGTAAACTGATTGTTGCATATGGGTCAAGAATTTTGTCTCTTCCAAATGTTGCTGATATATATGCCTTCAAATACAAGGGAATTTGGATTTCTTTAACTATTCTTACAAGAGGTGAGTCCATAAACTTCTTATTTATTGCAACAGTAATCACTTTGTTGGATCATCAATTGCATGGTTATTCACTAGGTATACTCGTATCTCTATTCAGTTCTGAATAGTAGCTACGTTTTCAAGAATGTTTTATCAGTTTTGTATGACAGTTATCACTCTGTTTATATTGCACTTCTTGCATATATATTCTTGAACATCTGATGTATAGCTGTGGATTTTTTCTTTATTGTTCACTTTGGTTGGAAAAAAAATTGTACTGCTTCCAAATGGTTTAAACTGTAGTCTGCAGATAGTTAGAATCACATTTCTGGGTGCAGGATAAGCAGTAAAACAACCTAGATCTAATCAAGGAGGGTCTATAAAGAATATGAATAAATGGTAATTTATTAGTTGGCTAGTGGACTGTTAACTTTTTTGGTAATCCTTCAACTGTTTACAAACTTGGTGTTGCAAACTTGTCAATCTCAAGTTGTGAGTCTTGTTACTAATGTGGGTACACAGTGAAGGTTGTTTATGGTTTGTTGGTTTAGAATGGTGGTCAGTGTGAGTAAACAATAAGATGTTTATGCTTAAAAAAAGTTAAAACTTTGGCTCTTGAAAGGATTAATAGAATCATGTAAGGTTTTAGCATTTGGATTGAATTTAGTGCAAAGTGTAGCAGCTGTTTGGTATGCTTGGTGGTGAGAGTATTAATTCCACATCGGGGAAAGAAGGGACATTGCATGTGCTTATAAGTAATTGGGCGACTCCCCGTTTTGCCAATTGGTTTATGGTGAACCTCGACTTTCTTCATGGTAATGGGCTACTCCCCATGTTGCCAATTGGTTTTATGGTGCCTCAACTTTCTTCACTTGGATCCAATTTTTGTTTTTTTGAAACTAATGAAGTAATGTACTAAGTAATTTAGCTTCATTAATCATTTTCTGAAAACAAAAAATTGGATACCATAAGGATTCCAAACAGCCCCTTAAAGATGCTGAACATGTATTATTGATTAAAATATTAGGGGAAACCCATCAATTTTCTTAGTTCAACAGCCAAGCTCAAAGTGAATGAATTGGAATACTATAAGGAAGCTGTTGTTTATCTTGTGTTTTTCAATTGCCTTTTTTTTTGTCTGTGTTTTAGAAAAACATCTCAAGTTGTTTTTTCTTTTCCTTATACTGTTCATCCCAAATTGAAAACATCAGACAAAAGAATAAAGTTCTTTTGCAAAGATGTACTTTCAATTCATTTTTTGACTCTACCACAGCATTCTTGGTACTAGTTTTTAAATATAAATCCTGTAGTGGCTCTTCTCCTGCTTTCCCTGTTAACTAAAAATAAATAAATAGCTCCTTGTACAAATGTTATGTTATGAGCTGATTTTAGGATGTTTGCCAACTGATAGCTCTTGCTGGAAACTATGTCAACTTTGGGGTGTTCGAGCTATATGGTGATAGAGCGCTTGCTGATGCACTTGATATTGCACTGAAGATGACATTATCAATACCTTTGGCTGATGTATTGGCATTCCGGAAGGTACATTTACTCATGCTTGTTAGTGTTTGCATCTATTAGTTTTGAGTACCTGGTTGGAGTTGTTTGATATGATTTCGGCGGGAGAATGAAGGTGAATGTATGGAGCAAAAACTTGAAATTGAACACTGAGTGTGCAATTTATGAAGTCTGAAATTTATGCTATCCTATTTTTTAGTTTGTCCCTGCTAAAAATTCTGTTGTGCTGATGCTTTTTGACACTTTAAAATCTTACTCTGTTTACTTGATTAAAATAAATTGCAGATATAAAACTCTTTAATTTTATCTTTCTTTAAGTTTTTCCTCTTGCCTAAAATTTGGAAGGTGTTCTTTATTTGAATTTCTTACTCTTTGCAGTTGTCAAAGGCCTATTTTGCATTCTTGGAGGTTGTATTCAACAGCCATATAGTTTATATACTGAATCTGGATACCAGTACTTTTCTGCATATAGTTGGATCCCTTGAATCTGGAATTAAAGGTCTAGATACAGGTATTGCATCACAGGTATGTGTTAGGTCTCTATTTTATGAACAAAGTCAATTCTATCATCATCCGCATGTCTCAAATTTAAGGCTTCACTTTCAAAGAATAACTTGTTACTGCACTTCTTTTGCATTTGTTTTCCTCTATTCAGTTCAGAACTAGAAGGCCAGATGGAAAAATGTGTCCAAGCAAAAGTAAAACTAACCTGAAATTTAGAAATCATCTTGTGCTATTGAGGACATAAGTCATGTTTTGGAATAAACTTAAAACCTTCCGTTGCCTGCATTTGTACTCCCTCAAGTCTAATTTCTCACCCATCCCTTATCAGTCTTCGGAAACTTTCAATATGTTACTGTGAGGTAGTGGAAAAACCCCAAATGATCAACAGTTGGCCATTGCTAAGTGCCAAGTGTTAAACTTCCAAACATTGAACGTTGTAGGAGTTTTATAGAAGAGGACAACAACACCAACAACAAAGCCTTATCCCATTAAGTAGGGTTGGTTGTACGAATCCTAAAGCGCCACTGCACTCGGTTTTGCGCCAAGTCTTCCATTAGCTCCAAGTACTCCATGTCTTTTCTCAGATTCTCTCTCCAAGTCTTCCTAGGTCCTCTTTTACCTTCTTGCCCTGAGCCCCTATCTTTAATCGTATCTTCTAACTCAAACGTCTATAGGTCTTCGGTTCACATATCCAAACCACCTAAACTGATTTTCTCTCATCTTATCTTCAATTGCAGCCACTCCTACTTTATCTCAATCCTATCTTTTCTCGTGTGCCCACACATCCAATGATGTATTCTCATCTCTGCAACACATTTTTTGCATGTATTGATGCTTGACTGCCCAACATTGTGTGCCATAAAACATTGTTGGCCTTATTGGCGTCCTATAAAAATTTCCCTTGAGCTTTAGTGGCACATGTCGGTCACACAACACACCCAATTACTCTTCCACTTCATTCATCCAACTTGTGTTCTATGGTTGAGATCTTCATCTAATTCTTCGTTCTTTTGCAAGATAAATCTAAGATAACGAAAGCGCTCACTCTTTGGTACTTTTTGATCTCCAATCCTCACCCCTATCTTATTTGGACCCCTATACTTGCACTCCATATGTCTTTGACCTACTTAGGCGAAGACTTTTAGATTCGAAGACTTCCTGCCAAAGGTTAAGCTTTGCATTTACTGCCTTCCGCTCTGTCAACATTATATCATTTGCATAGGGATCATCTTGTATATGTCCGTTAACTCATCCATTACCAATGCTAAAAGATAAGGGCTTAAAGCAGAGCCTTGGTTTGACCCAATGGTTATGGGAAAGCTTTTAGTTTCTCCTTCGTAAGTTTTTACTACAATCCTTGCTCCATCGTACATATCCTTTATTCCATGGATATATGCTATTCGTACTCCTTCCTCATCTACATCCTCCAAAACTTCTCTTAGGACTCTTCATACGTTTATTTCCAAATTTATGGTCTTATAAAAGACCATATGCAAATCTTTTTGCCTATCTCTATATCATTGATCTTGGTAAGAGATAGATTGCCTACACAGTCGAGCGCCTTGGCATGAACCCGTATTGATTGTCTGAGACTCGTGTTTCTTTCCTCAGTCTATGCTCAATTACTCTCCCCCAAAGCTTCATTGTATGACTGATTAACTTGATACCCTATAGTTCATGTAGTTTTGTATGTCGCCTTTATTCTTGTAGATAGGCACCAATGTGCTTTTTCTCCTCTCATTTGTCATCTTCATTTTCAAAATCTTACTGAAAAGGATTGTGAGCCATGCTATATCCCTCTCTCCCAAGACCTTGCACACCTCGAATGGTATATCGTCAGGACCCACTGCTTTTCTTTACTTCATTTTTTTCAAAGTTACAACTTCCTCCATTACCAAAAAAAAAAAGTTACAACTTCCTCTTTCCTGATTCGGCGGTAGGAGTAATTTATGCTCTTTCGAGTTACTCAAGTCACTAAAGAAGTACTCCTTTCGTGTCCTTCATTGAAAAGATTATGAAAATAAGCTCTCCATTTGTTTTTACTGCGTTCTCCGTAGCTAGAACATTTCCATTCTCATCTTTGATGTACCATACATACCGTCAAAAACCACTACCTTTGCTTCTCTCACTGCTTTCTTTGCCTCCTTTTTCGTTATTTTATATCTTTCACAGTTTTCATCGGTTCTGTACAAGGCTTTACAGCATTCCTTCCTAGCCTTAACATTTTCTTGTACCTCCTCCTTCCACCACCAAAATTCCTTTTGAGGTGGAGCAAAGTCCTTGGACTCTCCTAATACCCCTTTTACAACTTTTCGGATAGCTAGTCATGGAATCCCACGTTGGGCTAGCATTTTCCTCTGTATCCCAAACGCATTGGGCGAGTACCTTTGAAAGTGACTTGTTTTTCCCCTTTTAGATTCCACCATCTAGGTCTTGGACACTTCAAGGTCTTGTTCTTTCTTCTATCTCTTTTGATATGTGCATCCATCACCAACATGCAATGTTGGTTAGCCAGGCTCTCTCCCAGTACAATTGTTTAATTTACAAGCTATACAAATGTTAAAAATTTTGGAAAAAGTTATTGCACTGGAGAAGTCTTTTGACAACATGATCCTGTGTTACCAACTCGCACCAGTTTTTTTGTCTGCATTTTCTTGCTCCAGTGTGCATCTGCGGTTGAAAATTTGGCTGCTTTCTACTTCAACAACATAACCATGGGTGAGGCACCCACATCACCTACTGCAGTCAATCTTGCTCGTCACATTTCAGACTGCCCCAACTTGTTTCCAGAAGTAAGGATGTTTATGCTGTATTACTTTTTTGTTATTTGTCCTAGACTCTTTGTTAAGATGTGCATTTCTTATGGTTGAGTAATTATATTTTTGTTAAATATTAACATGGTTGTAACCCGAAAAAATAACATTTAAAGAATTGAAAGAGCTTTTAGAAAAAAATGTTTATGGGTTCCAAAAGCACTTTGAAGTGCTTCTCCAGGAGAAACTTGCATTTTTATTAAGGATTGCTTTCAAAAGCATTTCTCTAAAAGTGCTTTCAGTAATTTAAAAGCATTTCTCAAATGAGCCCTAAATTAAATTATGTTATGGGTTATCTGTGTAATGTTTGTTTACTGTTATTCCATTGTAAATCAGACTCAGCTCTAAAAACCGTCAAGATCTATCTTCTGTGATGTTAACATATTGAAGATGCATGGGTTTTTGTTCACCAAAAAAGAAAACAATGTAGCTCTATTAGTATTTAGTTTTCTTTTTCAGTCAGCTATATAAGGTGACACTTCAGAACCTTGTTGGTGATTATCAGTAAACAATAAAACTGAAACTATGACAAGTGTGATATACTCAAAGTTTAATGGCATTGAACTCCTGTAGTCACATAATAACCTGCGGAAATCCATAAGCCCAACTGGATTGTAAACATGTGTTGTGCATTGTTTTAGTTCAGCTAGTCCCATGCCTTGACTTGTAAGCGAGAGGTCTTAGGTTTGAATCTCATGGATGGCGAGTTTGATGCCAATTTTTCCCCCACTGCTTGGTGTAAATACATTGTTGTATTAAGAAAGTGTGTGCCTGACCCTTGAGAGGATTAGGTCTAGATTTATATATGCCTTGGGGACTTTGGTTTTGGTTTGCTTGAAGAAATGTAAAGCTATTGAGAAAAAAAAGTTTATATGTTTATGTGTCAAAGTTATGCATGAAATCATTCTCCATGCAAGCAAGGTGAATTGAATTTGCTTATGCTTTCTTTATGTTGCCAAACTCTGATAACATTTTGTGGTTATTCTCCATAGTTACTAAACTGTTTTGGTTATGTGACTAATCTGAGTTATTTTATATGTAAAGGTACTGAAGACACTGTTTGAGATTGTTTTATTCGAGGAAAGTAACAACCAGTGGAATTTTAGCAGACCAATGCTGAGCTTGATACTTATTAATGAGCAGGTAGTATTTTTATTTGAGGGCATGTATATTGTAACTTGTTCAAGTCTTTTCTTTAGCCATATACACAACATGTTCGTCTGCAACATTGTTTTTTAAATGCCTCTTATTAATCAGTTCCACGGTCCACCTTCACATGATTACACTATATATTTCCTGTTCAGTCTGTATACGCACATGTGTTTGTGTTACTGCTTCCTGAAGCCATTTCTGTTTTAAATCATCTTACCTGCAGGAAAAGTAAACATGTTCTTTATGCTTATCATCTCTGCCAATTTTAAAATTAAATTTTCATTTTTCTTTATGGTTTTTGGTTTTTAGCTTACATCTTTTAGAAAATATTTGGAAACAATGCAGCTGTCTCTCTCTATTTCTCTAACTGTAAATCTTGGTTCCATCTCTTCCACTGTTTGTCCTTTACATGTTTGACATTAGAATATTGTAAGTTTGCATCCTGTCTTAACAGTATACCGTCCTTTACTCTCGTTTGTGTTTCAGTACAGAAGCTGCATCTTTGAATTCAGTGCTTTACTTCTTTTGTTCAGCTCATTGTGGTCGGCCAACTTGTTTTTTCCTTCTTTTATCAGCGTCTTCAATTTAGCTGACAATACAAATTACTTGGGTTGTGTTTTATACCGCTTTTTATTTTTAGGAGAGAGAGAGAGAGAGAGAGAGAGAGAGAGAGAGAGAGAGAGATAAGTGAGGTAGAGAGAAGGGAGAGTAGAGAGAAACAAACCTTAAAAAACTTGCTGAACCATTGGATTTCTTTGCTAAACATTTCAAGCTTGCATTTGCTGGAAGGGAATTCTTTAATGGTCTTAAATTTTTTCACTTCTGATGGCTGTATCTGACTTGCAGATATTCTCCGATTTGAAAGTTCATATCTTGGCTTCACAGGTTAGTTGTGCCTTCCATGATTGGTTGTTTGAGTTATATAATCGAATAATAAAGGACTAAGCTAATATGATGGGTCAAACCTTAACTTTTGTGTTTGAGCAACGCTGAATTTATTATTGTTTTGCTGTTTTAAATTGCTACTGTCACGAGTACATGTACATGACACTTTTTGATATTGGCCTGCAGCAAGCGGATCAACATCAACGGCTTTCCGAGTGTTTTGACAAGCTTATGGTGGATGTTACTAGAAGCTTGGATACAAAGAACAGAGACAAGTTCACCCAAAACTTGACAGTATTCAGGCGTGATTTTCGCTTGAAGTAACCATGAATATTTTGCTGCATACTTGTAGCTGTAAAAAAAATGGATACTCTACTGGGAAAAAAAAGGGAGCTAAGTTTGTGAAGTTCTCGGGCTGGTGTAACAGGAAGGTGCATTGGACTTTTTTTGGTGGTGGCGGTATCGTTATTGCTGTGTACTTGAAGAGGAACGTTAGCGAGGTTTGCTTTTCTGGTGGTTTGTAGCAAAGATAGTTGTGGGGTTTGACATGTAGAAAATGGCCAGTTCTAATTTTGGTAGTAAACCAATTATTTTAGAAGAAAAAAAGGGTGTACATTCTCTCGTGTCTATTTTGTAAGTTGATCTCCTGTACATTAACCTTTACATATTCTTTGTATTTGTTGATAATAAGAAAGAAAAAGAGGTTTAAAGGATTGTTCTTGTCTCCTGGCTTTCTTTTTACTTTCTCGCCTCTCTTCGATTAGACGTTGAATTCGTGCCTCGAATTTAACATGGGGGGAATATGTATTTGAATTTGTCATTGTTAATGGTAATATCTTGCGCATTCAGTGTGCCAAAATCATATATAACGAGGCAACATTTGATGATGTGCTTGTTTGTCATCTCTAGAGCAATGGGTGCCAACTGCTTGGCATGCTTGGGAGGCTTGTATGGACTAAATGTAGAATAGCATCGTGCAAATTTTAACAATTTTATTTGCACCTAGAGTTAATTCTTGTTTTTCTCTTGGGCTTATTTATCTAATGCCTCTTGAACTATACCATAAGTATCACTTTACACTACTTTTGTAACTGAACCACTTTACCACCTGGATTTTCACTTTATGTTTGACCTTACCTTCGCCAATTTGGTGATTGGGTTGTTATCTTTTGATTACGGGACACTCGATTGTCGTTGATGTGTCATCCGTATTATTGATATTATGTTGCTACTGTGACGAAACAGTAAACAATTAATAGACGAAGTTGATTGAACTGTGTTGTGTGTGGTTAATCTCTTAGTGAATAAGGTGTTGGGTTTTCACCTATACATTCCGCATTCAAAACTCCTCTTCTTCTAAATTATTTTCATAGTTTGTAACTTTTTTCTGTTCCGTTGAATGATGAATCGTACTAATGTGAGACACTTGTTAAAAGTTTAGGGGTGCGAAAGTGATAGGGTTGCAAAAGCAGGGGTTGAAGTGATAATTTTGTGATAATTCAGGAGCGTTTTGATAATTAAGGGTTTTTTTAATTCTTATTATGAGGGCGAGAAAGAATCTTAGGCTATGTTTGGGTAGGGGATTTGCATGTGCAAAGCAATTAATTGTAAATATTGTTAGAATAGACTAGAACAATTAGAGGGAGGATTAGAAATGCACTTGATTGTTGAAAAGATATATAATATGTGTAGGGCTTAACTTGACATTGGACTTTGTTAAGTGGTACTTGTTGTGAAAATTAGATAACCAAAATTAACCTTATTAAGTCTCAAATTTTTAGGGCTTGCAAGTATACGAATCAGAAGATTGTATAGCATATAAGCACATATATCGTTCCACAGAGATTAATCCAATTGATTCTAAAAGTCCTAACTAAATTGAAAAAAAATTATAATTGAGAAGCTTTATGAAAACGAAATGAGATTTTGAATTAAACTGAAAACTAAATAAAGCTTGAAAATAAAATACATAAAATAATAAAATGAAAATATAAGAAAGGAAGACCTAGGGCATCCGAATTCACCGTAACCAATTCTATTTAATTCCCTTAATATATTATGCTCAAGTAAGTTCCCAAATATTGATGATCGAGTTCCCTAAATTATTCAATGGCCATGACATCTGGTTGCATCAAAAGTATCCTTACATGTTAATCCTCCATGACATCTAGATGAATTTAAACAAGTAAGAGCCCATTAAACTCTATGGAAATTGTTGGAACATCACACATACCCTAATTGCATGATATCTACAAATAGGTGTTTATGGTATCAATTGCAAGAAGCTAAATCCTAGTTAAGTATGGCATCTCTCTAACTTGCATCAAATCAACTCAATTAAAACCTAAATGGTGATCAAGCATCTCAATAAAAATCAAGTGCTTTACGAATAACAAAAGATACTCAATATGGAATAAAAACTTGATAATAACAATGCCACAAGATAATTAAGTTGTGAAAGAAGCGATGAGACAGAGGAATCATGCATACTCCAATGAAAATAATGTACCATACAAATTAGTAAGCAAGTCAAGAAACTACCAATGAGAATAAAATGATTCCACTTTTATCTTTCAACATTCTGAAAACCTATAAAATAGAAGATAAATTTTCAAAATTGTTAGGAATACAAACTCCCAAACCTGTACATGCTGATTGAACAAACTCACTCAAACATTCGACTCTAATCAAATTTGGATCCTGATTTCTTCCTTTTGCCGCAACAATTTTCTCACCACGTTTTATATTCTTTCTAATTCCTTGTGCCAAAGAATTCTTCCTGCAACACATTGGTTTCTGGTTTCAAAAAGACGAATTAACATAATCAAACCACATCTCTTGCTGTTCATGCTTCAAAGGTGCCTGTGCAATAGAATAGCATTAGAACTAAGTGAAGAGACAGGTAGATTGCCTATAGTCGGACAAACAAACGTAAAGAAATCCAAAAACGATCATCCCAAACCTGCACTAACCAAAATACAATTGAAATTAAAACTATGATTATGATTTGACAGAGAACTGAGGAATAGCCAAGCTAGGAATACCATAAGTGCTCGATAGATAGTCAAATTGATGAAAACACAAACGAACAACATCAATAACAAATCATGGTATTCTTTCGACTACTAGATCAAAAGGACAGAAGATCACTCTTGTGTGAGAAGTGCCAGAAGGGATAAGCAAGTAATATAAGCAAAGGAGAATGGTTAAGTAAACCAAACTTAAGCAAAACTAAAACTCACATAAAAATCTTTGGGTATCAGTGGAGAAGAGCTTGCTTTCGAATTTCACAATGGAGCAAAACTAAAGAATGTATAATTAAGTTTTATTTCTCCGCTTCCACGAAACAGTTTTCTCACACATTCTCATTTTCCCTCCTTCGTTTACACGTCTACACAGCGAGGTTTATCATGTTTGTAGATTAAAACTTCTACAAAAGAGAGTCTCTATGTGTATGTATAATTAAGCAGAAATGAGAGTTGCAATACCAGGATGTGCTCCATGTAGATTGCAAAATGTAACCATGAACATCATGAAAAAATAGGCGAAGCACAAATGGGAAGAGGCCATGATGTTTTTTATAGTAAAAAAAAAAAAAAGGGAGAACCTGCAAAACAAAGTTGATTTCTCAAGAGTCATGAAATGGCAAGTGCTTGATAGAATCCAATCAATATGTACATAGATGTAGAACATAGAAATACAATAACTAAACAAAGTAGAATAAAAACAATCTATCGGTCTTAAACTGTGACCGACTCAAATATAGAAGAGGAACGATGAGCTTCACAATGCACAATTTATGTTTTTCCTGGAATCTAGTAAATGTTGGCAGCGTCGAAGAATGAAATTGAAAACAAAAATTTTCTCAAACCATTCGAAGTAGCAGGAACATTGAAGCTTCTTCCTTCCTTCTCAAATGTTGGATTTGTGAATTACTGAATGTGGATTTGTGAGTTATTGGGAGTTTATTCATCTTCTCAGTCAGTTTGCAGCAGTTTACTCTCGAGTCCTCTACGATCAGGTTTCCTTTTTATACGTTCAATTTCTTCTCTTTTTTCTTTCTATTTTATCTTAGTTTGTGGCAGTTTAGTTCGAGTCCTCCACAATCAGGTTTCTTTTTTGCACATTTAATTTCTCTTTTAATTGTTATTTTTTTTCTACAAAACTACCCTTAGTAATAATTTCTTTGCATTTCTTTTCAATTAATGCGTTTTTTTTTTCAGGGTTATTTTGGTGCAATTATTTTTGGTGAAGCCTTAAGACACAAAACTTGACTTTTGACTTTCTAATATTAGAGATTTACAGTTATGAATAGTATTTCATTGACTAGGGTTATTGAATTATCGAATTATCGATTTACCATTGCATGATCATATTTGTGTTATCTGCTTGTCATGTGCTGCACTAGTGTGTACTCACCCGGGTCAGGGTTAGTCTTTCACGTGTATATTCACATCGCACCGTACGCTCGCTTTGGATCCATTGTAGGTGTCAATCCTGTTCTAGATTGCTATAGGCAATTAAGACTCGTATGTGATGCGCATAGCGTCAGTCTTCATATGATTGTAGTACTAGAGCATAAGTCATTAATACACCCAGTTTTGTTCATGTCAGAATATCTCTGCATGAACTCGTGTGTTAACATATGTCAATGAGTACTCAATATGATATGTTTGTTTATGCGAGAATACGTAATTACGGACGTCGTGTGTTTATTTATGAAAGTTTGTGACGTATTGCTTTCCTGAGATATTGCTGGCTATGGTAAGTATTTTCATACTATACGTATTATATCTATTTTGGAAACTATACTTGTTTTATGGCGAAAGGTTATTATGTTTTCGAAAAGGTTTTTACAAAGCTTTATTTTTAGGCCCACTCACCCTCAGTGGCGGAGCCAGAATTCTGAATGAGAAGGGGCTTTTCACAAATATGTATATATATGAGTGTGTGTAAAAAGTTGAATTTATAACATGTTGACATATGCAATTTGTGTAATCCTCACAAAACTGAAAAAAACTCTCTTAAATTCAATACTAAGAAGAAAAAAATGTAAAAACCCAGACAACCAAGTAAGAGGTAGGTTGTGGAAGGCTAAGGAAAATACAAAGAAGTAGAAAAAGAAGGAAAAGGGGGAGAGGTCTGCAAATAAAAAAGGTGGGTTGCTTTAGAAAATTATAGGGTGTATATTACTGTTAGGTGAGATAATCGAACCAGAAGTGGGGTTGCTTTTTCCATTTAAAATTGCACATCTCTTTTAAAACTCCCCTGCCAAACTTATCATTTCATTAGATAGCCGAAAAGATTTAAAATCAAAACAGTTTAATGACGTTGTTTGCTTCATCTTCTTCCATGAGGTTCACACCTCAGATGAAGTCAGGATGGGCCAGGGACTACCCTAGTCCCTTGGTGGCTCCGCCTCTGCTCACCCTTGTTTTTCGCCCATCCAGGTTTTAGTAATAGAGCTTTTGTGTGACAAGGGCTTTCTGGCAAAATGTTGTTATTAGAGATTATCGTCGATGGTATAATTCTCATTCTACTTTTACAGTACTTTACTTATACTTTGACATTATGTGTGAAATGGGTTCATTCCTGCTCACAAGCGCACTCTTACATTTACGCACTTTTAGGTTTAAATTTATTCACATTTCCACATCACTACACTTCATGACTTCATCATCCTCGTGGTGTCGGTCAGCACAGCTCGATTCATGGATTCTGG